TCCGCATCGTGCCGCCCCCGCCTCGGGCAGCGCCCCGCCCCGTCCCACGCAACCACCCCGGGTCCCCTGCATCGACCCGGCCACCGCCCACCGCGAGGAGCGAGGCGCCAGGCCCAGGGCCTCGCCGACATCGCACACAGCTCGGCGGCCCGCACCGAAGACTCTGGCTTCTTCGGGAATCCGGAGAGTCAGAGTCATCCATCACCCGGTCCCCAGACACCCCGTAGCCGGTCTCCACCCAGTCCGCGCCCGCCTGGAGCTGGAGATCCGCTGTGCACAGGCGTCATTGGAGCCACACTCCAGGGCATTTCGAGCGACTGAGAATCCCCTGGTCCTCCGCTTCCCACCGGGACCCAACTTTCAACATACCCTGGGCCGCTGTCTGGCTTCAGCCTTTCAGCCTTAACATACATACACCTACTCGCCGACTCCGACTCACTCTGTGGCTGCAATCCCGCCTCTTCTTTCTCTCCTACCTTCACAGTGGGTTTGCCATTTGAGCTTTTTTTTTTTTCTTTTTTTTTCGGTTCCATAAACCGACCTACCTGCTGATGCCGGCCTCAACTTCCACACATCCTGTTCTGTGTAGGAACATTCTTCACTCGCTGACTCCTGCTTTTCAGCTTTCGGGTCAGCATCGCATATTCTGGGAGTCTAGGTGGTTTTCCCGGAAGGGTCTACTCTTTGAGTCAGCTTCTGGTTTGTTGTGTTTGGTGTTATTTGTTGACTTGTTCCGTTGGAGCGGGTAAATCAAGGGACAGCTTCTCAGGGTCCTGGGGACTGAACACAGGTTGTCTAGCTCTGGCAAGTGTCTTTATCCAATCGATGATCCATTTCACAGGTCGCGGTTTGTGATGTTAATGTCTGATTTTCCGTGAAATTCAGCTTATTGGGGACCAGTCCTGTCTTGCATCATTCATGATCTATAGTAATTTTTATTTTTGTGTTTGTTACTGATACTGGACCTTGCACATGCTGGGCAAGTGTCTACCTGCCCTGCTCTATCGTGTTTTTTTTTTTTTTTTTTTTTTTTTTTGGGAAAAGATTTGCTGCCTATGCTGGTCTAGAATCAAACAATCTTCCTGGCTCAGATTCCTGAAGTAGCTGAGCTTTCAGGTGTAGTATCCATCTTAATTCTTTTTAATGATTTATTTATTTTTACTTTATGCATATATGCATATATATGAGTATTTTGCCTGCATGTATGTGCATCATGAACATGCAGCGTCTGCAGAGACCCAGAAAACAGAGTTGAACCTCTGAACCTGGAGTGACCAACGGTTGTGAGCAGTGGGTGATGGGAACTGAACCCAGGTCCTTTGCAAGAGCAGCAAGGGCTTTTAAACACTGAGCCACCTCTCCTGCTCTAAAGATATTTTTTTCTAAAGATATTATTAATTAAGAAATGCTCTGTATTAATTATTAAGTTAAAATTGTTCCTGAATTTCTTTTGTGTGCTTATCTGTGGGTACGCATGAGCATTAGTAGGTGAGAGCACAGCTTGCGGGGGGTGGGGGAGTGGGGAGGTGGGGGGGTGGGGGGGTGTCAGTCAGCTCTCTCCTTCACCATGTGGAGCCCAGGGATTGAACGAAGGTTGTCAAGCTTGTCAGCAATCACTTTTGCCTGCCTAACCATCTTGCTACTCCTCTCCCTCCGCCCCGTTATTCACTTTTAGATTGCAAATAAAACATATGCATTCTAGACACACTGTTTATTCTTTCCATTTAGAGCCTGGGGTCGCTAACAGACACAGTGGTGTTGTTATTTAGATGAATTAGAATTCTGGCTTCTTTGTCCACCTCTGCTGCCTTTCAGGAATATCTGGATTGAACTTCAATGAGTGAAAAGAATCCTGTAGCTGGGGTGGAGAGATGGCTCAGTGGTTAAGAGCATTGCCTGCTCTTCCAAAGGTCCTGAGTTCAATTCCCAGCAACCACATGGTGGCTCACAACCATCTGTAATGAGGTCTGGTGCCCTCTTCTGGCCTGCAGACATACACAGGAACAGACTTATGTATACATAATAAATAAACATTAAAAAAAAAAAGAATCCTGTAGCTTCACTTTGCTTTTCCTTCTCTTTGTATATCTGTCTCACTGTGGCCTGGATATGAAATGGAAACCTAGGGGCTGGAGAGATGGCTCAGCGGTTAAGAGCACTTGCTGTCATTTCAGAGGACCTGGGTTCTATCCCCAGCACCCACATGGAGGCTCACGATTCTCTGTGACTTCCCATTTCCTGTTGAAAAACACCAATGTGCATAAAATAAAAATAATTAAAAAGATAAAATGGAAATATATATTATTTGCATCTGCTGAATACATCACTGTCTTACATATGCTAGGCACTCTACCAATGAGCCACACCTTCTTCTGTTTCATATTTTTAAATTTAAAGCACGTGTGGATCCACTCGTGGTGGCACATACCCAGCACTGGGGCAGCAAAGGCCTGCGCACATCCAGTTCCAAGTCTGCATAGAGACTGCAGAGAGAGCTTTTCTCAAGAGGTAAATAAATAGCGGAAAGGGGGTGTGTGTGGACGGTTGGTTTTCTTTCTTTTTTATTTCACTCTTTCAAATTTTCTTTTATTGCATTTATTTATTTATTTAAATTTATTTATTTTGTATATCGTGTTCTGGGCACCAGATCTCATTACAGTTGGGAGTGAGTCATCGTGTGGTTGCTGGGAATTGAACTCAGGACCTCTGGAACAGCAGTCAGTCCTCTTAACCTCTGAGCCATCTCTCCAGCCCCCTATTGCATTTATTTATATGCTCATGTGTGTATTTGTGTATGCACACAAGCATGAATGCCGCAGCATAACCGTTGGAGGTTGGAGGACAGCTGTCAGGAATTGGTTCTCTCCTTCCATCATGTGGGCCCAAGATTTCAAAATCAAGGTGTCAGGCTTGGTCTGGTCAGCAGTATGCTTTCCTGCTGAACCATCTCTCCACCTACCACACCACCTCTTCCCACCTCCTCTGATCACTGCTCCTCCTCTTTCATCCTAATGAGAGAGTTACAATGTAGCCCAAATCCAAGTTGAACTTGCAATCCCCTTTTTTCAGCCTCAAGAATGCTAGGATTAGAGGTGCCACCACATCGGTCTTATTTCATAAAACAGAGAACGTCTTAGCAGGCGGGTGGAGCTATACCTGTAATCCCAATATGAAACAGGGTGTCAGAAGCTCACCGCCATCCCTGACTATGTAGTGAGTTGGTGGCCAGCTTAAACTACACGAGACCTTGCCTCAAAACCAAACCAACTGCTGGCTTCCTGGGTGGGCACTTATCTTAAATCCCAGTACACAGAGGACTGAAGCAAGAGAATGGCCGAGAATCCAGAGACAGAGAAACTTCTACAGAATTGAACAATGTCCTCCACAAAATAAGAATTGCTTTTACTGGAGGTCAGTTACATTTTGCTGTGGTAGGGATGGAACTCAGGGCTTTCTGCATGCTAGGCAAATGCTCTACCACTGGGCTGTATGTATCCCAGCTCCCTGGTCTGTTATATTTAATAGAAAACTATTCTGTTGGTTTAGAATTGTATCTGGGGTAATGGCCAAGAAAAGCCTTTTTATTGTCAAATGTTCCCAGCACACAAACAATCCTGGGGGCCATGAGATTCCAGGCAATCCGTATTCAGTTCACATCCACTCTCTCTTTTTCTCAGCAGAGGCCCCACCCCTAGAGCTTTTGAATTTCACCAATAACCAGCAGGGGCTGTGTGGCAGAGGCACCACGGTGTGTCTCATCTGCTTGTCTTCACAAGGGAAGATGATTTTTCTGGTCTCGCAGCACGGGCAGCAGGCCAGAGGATAAACAGGGCCCTGAACAGACTCTGCTCCATTCAGCTCCTGTCTTCTCTTGTCAAGGAGCTCCTTAGCCAAAAACTTCCCCTATCCAGAGATGTGTGTCGGAAGGAAGGGTAGTGCTGCTTGTTCGGTGAACAG